CATTCCATCTAGCCATCCACTAAGGCCCTCTCACCATCTGCCTGCCCTTCCCTCTCCCCTTTTTTTTTAATCTCCCCATGACAAAACAACCTTCCCTTGCCACCTGTTTCCTATATATGTTGTTTTCTCCCATTAAGATGTATGCTTCTTAAGGTAGGGACTATCTCTTATTAAAAATAAAAATTGTATCCCTAGCATTTAGGTGACTGTTACATGCTAAGCGCTTCATAATTTAATCTTATTCATTCATTCATTTGTTCATTCATTCTTTTATTCATTCGTGCCAAAGCCAGTCTCTAAATTGTATCCTTCATCCCATGTTATTCTCTCCTTCCTCCTCTGCTGTATACAGAAATACCCATGTTGCTTTCATCTTTAAAAACTCTAGCTTGATCCAGCCAGTCTCAGTAGCTCCTTTCCTGTAGCTCCTATCTCCTTTGTGGCTAAACTTGAGAAAGTCATCTAAATTAAGTCCATCCACATCCTTTCCTCTCACTCTTTTCTAAACTCTCTGCAATCTCACTTTCTAAACTCTCTGCAATCTCACTTCCAGACTCATAATTCGACTGAAACTGCCCTCTCCACGGTTACCAATGATCTCTTAATTTCCAAATCTAATGGCCTTTTTCTAATTTCATCTCTCTTGGGAGAAAATAGAGAAACTTTTAACTAACTAAATAGACAGGAAATGTTCTGATTTATTTTAGTGACTGATAGACCACATTTGAATTTGTTGAAGATAATTGATCTGTTAATGACAGTATATCCTGAATTGATCTGAATAGGGACCACACTTTTCTTCTCCAAATCTGGCTTATATTGAAAAAGAATGAGAGCAAAAATGATGAAAGGCAATAATATCAAAAATGATTTAAAAGATTTTCTTTAAATTAAAAGAAGTGAGGGAAAAATTTTTTTTCAATATATTTTTCTTTAGCATAGTGTTTTTTTTTGGTACTTATCTTTCTGTATTGTTCATGTTATACACATTTATGTATATTTGTGTGTGTATACACATATGTATATTTCTGTGTATGCCTGTGTATATATATGATTTGGAAGAAGTCAGGGAACAGTTGGTCTATATGAAAGCTCACATGGAATTAATTTCAAGAGATTTCCCAGTTCCTTGATAATACTAGGGAAGCAATCTGAGAGAACATTTGACATCTGTTGCAACTGAGCAGTCCCCAAAATTTGCTGCTTGCTATGGCTATGAGCTTTACAACTCTTCTCAAGCTACCTACCCATCCACCCTTTGGTTATATTAATTCTTTTTTTGTTCTTCAGTTGTTCCAGTCATATCCAACTCTTTGTGACCCCAAAGTATCTTCTTGGCAAATATACTGGAGTGGTTTGCCATTTCCTTCTCTCACTCATTTTACAGATAAGAAAACTAAGTCAAAGAGGGTTAAATTAAGACTTGTCCAGGGTCACATAACTAGTAAGTATCTGAGGCCAGATTTGAACTCAGGTCTTCCTGACTCCAGGCCTGGCACTTTATCTTCTGTGCCACCTATTCTTTCTACTCTTTGAAAATACTTGAGAAAGTCATCTTCAATCCAGTACTGCAGTTCTTTTACTCTCACTTTTTTCTTAATTCTTTACAGTCTGGCTTCTGACCTCATCATTCAGCCGTAACTGTTCTCTCCAAAGTTATCAATAATCTCTTAATTGGGGGCAGCTAGATGGCGCAGTAGGTAAAGCTCCAGCCTTAGAGTCAGGAGGACCTGAGTTCAAATCTGGTCTCAGACAGTTGACACTAGCTGTGTGACCTGGGCAAGTCACTTGACCCTGTTTGCCTCCCCCCCAAAATAATAATAATAATAATAAATCTCTTAATTGCCAAATCTATATCCTTTTATCAATCCTCATTCTTCTTTACCTCACTGTACCTTTGGCCACTGTTGTTCATCCTATTCTCCTTGATAGTTTAGCACACAGTAGATGCTTAATAAATATTTATTTCTTCACTCTTGTTCCCCTTCTTTCCAAGTTCCTGTGACACTATTCCTGGTATTTCTCCTGCCTTTTTGACCCCTCCTCCTCAGGCTCTTTTGCTGGATCTTCATTCAGGTCATGCCTGCTAACTGTGGGTGTCCCTCAGGGCTCTGTCTTGGGCCTTTTTCTCTCTTTGATATTTTGTTTGGTGATCTCATCAACAGTTATCTCTATGGTGATTATTCCCAAATCTACTTAGGCAGCATTAATTTCTCTCCATTATTCATAATTGCCTACTACACATCTCAAACTAGATGTCCTGTAGACATCTTAAACTCAACATGCTCAAAGCTAAACTCATCTTTTCCCCAAAATCTCTTCTCTTCCTAACTTCCCTACTACTTTTAAGTGCACCATCTTCCCAGTCACCCAGGCTTACAACCTAGGTGTCACCCCCAACTCCAGATTCCCTTTCACTCCCATATCTAATCTGTTGCCACAGCCTGTTGATATCACCTTCTGAACAGCTTGTATACGTGCCCTCTTTTCTCTGACACCACCATCATCTTGGTGTAGGCCTTTATCACCTCACACTTGGATTATTGCAGTAGCCTGTGATTGGTCTCCCTGCCTCAAATCTCTCCCCACTCTAATCCATCTTCAATTTAGCTGTCAGATTTATTTTCCTAAAGTGTAGATCTGACCATATCACTCCCCCTCCCATTCTGTAAACTCCAGTGGTTTCCTATCACCTCCAGGAATAAATATAAATCCTCTGGCATTCGAGTTCTTCATAACCTGGCCCTCTTCTACCTTTTCAGTCTTTTTACACATTAGCTGCTCCCATGTGCTATGTGATCCAGTAACACCGGCCTCCTTCCTGCTCCTTGTAGAAGAACAATCCATCTCTTGGCTCCATGCATTTTTACTGGCTGTCTCCCATACTTTAATTCTTTCCTTCTTTCCTTCTGCTCCTGGCTTTCCCAGCTTCCTTCAGTCTCAGTTAAAATACCACCTTATCTAAAAGCCTTTCCCAGTCCCCTTTAATTCAAATACTTTTTGTTTATTGCTTACCTCCGATTTATCCTGCCTGTTGCCTGTTTATACATAGTTGTTTTCATGTTTCCCCAATACACTGTGAGCTCCTAGACAGCAGGGAATGTCCTTTACTTTTTTTTTTTCTGTATCCCCAGTGCTTCTCACAGTGCCTGGCACATAGTAGGTACTTAAGAAATGCTTATTGACTGACTGACAAAATAAAATCTTACATTCAAGAGTCATCCAATTTGTCTTTGAGCTCATTCAGCTTTATGGAGAATAGCATTTTAAGCTTAGGACAAAGTGTTTTTGGTTGTTGCATACTCCAAGCTTAACTGTGTATTTCTATATCTCTTTTGTATTCATTGCTGCTTGTGTCATTTTCCTTCAGTAGACTGCCATCTCTCAGCAGGACTTTGGGCAGAGTTGTTTGCTGTGTTGACATATTGCATACACTCTGTCTGTCCTCAGATATGACCCAGGTATCCACTAGGTTAAGATTGGACTTGAGACTAGGCTTACTCAACAGGTACTCTGTGCCTTCCATAACAGTAGCCAGTTGTTAAATTAGTCCAACTGTCTTATGTGGCATTTTCTAGATGTTAGGCCCTTCTTTGACAGATTTAAGTACTGGATTTCAATAGTCCAGATGATATAGAAAGATTTAATAGAACCTTGACTTGTAAATGTGAAATATGTTTTTATTAAATAGCTCTGTTCTCACTAAGTTTAAATTATTGCAATTGCCTAGCTGAATAAACATCTATTCAAAACAAATGGCATTGTCAGTTAAAAACAGAGGCAAAAAAGTTCGTGTATCTTTTGTTTATTACGTGTGATACATAACTCCGGTGACACAGCTTAGCTAATATTTAGCATCAAAACATTTCAGACTGCTTTATGTATGTCAAGTTTAAACATTAACAGGAGACTGATATTTTTCTGGGAAGAACAAAAGATTAAGAGCTGGAAGACCTGACATAATCTGGATTCTGGAATTTATTAGATAAATCACCTCTGAAAAATCACTTTGCTTATCTCCACTTCCCATGTCTACAAAATAGGGAATACGTTTCATTGTCTACCTCACAGGATTTTTGTGAGAATCAGATGACATGATACATATTGGAAAGCATATTAATAAGTATAAAATGACTTACAAACGTAAGAGTATTTTCATAAGCATTATAAATGGGCATTTATCTTCTCCAGGTACCTGAAATTTTGGATTATAACTTTATTTTAAAGATTAATATGCATTACTTAAATATTTTATTACTAATATCAATTAATAACTGATAATTTAATAAGTGCATATTGATTGAATTATGTAGTGCTTCAAAGTTCAAAAAGTACTTTATACACCGTATCTCATTTGATCATTACAATAACCTTTCAAAATAGGTATTACAGATATTATTGTCATCATTTTACAAATTCAAGTATTGAACCTTTCCTAGACCTTCCTTCCCCCCCCCTTTCAATCCCCAGCTGATAGTGTACTGTGTTCCTAAATTACCATGTGTTAATTTTGTATAAGCTTATATGGCTTATGTGAGTGTTTTTAGAACATAAGCTCTTTGAGGGCAGAGTCCCTTTTACTCTCAACTTTGTATTCCTATTGTGTAGAACATAGTGCCTGGCACATAGTAATCACTTATTAAATTGATTAATAGTTTAATCGACTTGCCCAAGTGATACAGACAATATGTGGACTCTGGCTTCTGCTGACCCTTTTTCCACTATACCTCAGTATTTTCAAACATTAAAGAAATGAATCAATATGGCCACAATTGTATGCTGTGAGGTTCTATTCAGGGTAAAGTAAGTGAACAATGTTATGCCAAATAAGAGGGGAGAAAGAGAGACAGATGGAGAGACAAAGAAGGAGAGACAGAAACAGACCACATTTATTAAGACTTGATATGTACCAGCTGGGAATAAAAACACAAACAAAAAGAAAGACAGCCACTGCTGGCTAGGAGCTAACATTCTAATGCGGGAGGATAACACGTAGGTACCTGGCAAGGGGGCATAGTAGAAAAACTCCTGTCGAGATGGATCAGTAGTGCAACCTGGAAAAGAATGAAGACATGGTTGTCCTGGGCACTTTCATAAATGGAGGCTCCTGGAAGGAACTCACCAATTGGAGTAGGGTGCTGAAAAATGAGAGGAGACAGGCAAGAAGTCAGATATAACATCTACCTATTGCTGCCAAATTCTGAAAGCTGCCCTTTGTTTTCTGTTAACTCACCTAATGAGTCATTTGAGGTGGTTCTCCTGTTGATCTGTGAAGGTCTATAATGTCTTATCCATTGGGAAATCTCAGGGCAAAAAACCCTCTTCTGTAGATAATCTGGATCTTTTCCCATTAAAACCAATTTCAGAAACTTTTCATCCAGGATAGCTTATTTGATTATGCTTCCCATAATTATGCTGGGACAAGGAGGAAGTGATTCTGTAGGGAGGCTGTCTAACTTCTTTGTTTATTAAACTCAGAGACTTTTAATTACCCTCACATTTTTAAACTACTAGAGGGCAGCCACTATGCCTGTTTAACTGGCTTTATTGAGAGGGCTGAGGCCACCTTTGCTTCATATAATGATCTGTGTAGATGGACCTTTTAAATGCTTTTAATCATCTATTTAGTAATAAATAGATGACCAATAGCCACTTCAGCATTACTATGTTAAGGTTTATTGACTGGCTCCTGTTTGCTGGGAGACACTTCATGTGGTAGAAGTTTTGAAGGGCTTTCTGTGTTAATTGTATGCTGTCATTATTGTTAATTCAGTTCAATTCAGTATCCATGTAGTATGCATTTATTCTGTGTATTGTGTTACAGCCCTGTTGTTCCTCTCTCTTGAAGGGTGTGTGAATCTTCCATGCCATAATGAAAATGAACATAAATGCAATATGCATCTCTCCTTGTAGGGCAGTCATGTTGTCATGGGTAGACAGCTGGGGTCCAACTCATGAAGAACGATGTGAGTTTAGCCCCTGGCACATGCTGACTTTGTGACCCTGAGCAAGTTAATCTCTCAAGTGCCTGGGACAACTCTTTAAAATTATGCATTGCAGAGCTGGGGCTGATTGACATGGTAGAGGGAGTTTTCTCATTGAAAATTCACTCTACCAAAGAAATCACAGGTCCAGGGGGGGAAAAAAAGATTTCTTCTTAGAATAGAGATACATATCATGCATTCCATTGATAACACACAATTGGCATAGGGAAAGAGAAAGTGAGACAAAATGAGGATACATCCATATTTTGAAGTGGTAAAATTTCAGTCAGACTGAAACTAACAGCAAAACAGTTTCAGGATTGAAGTTATATGTTATTGGGCTGCATTAAATTCCTGAGATAGCTTGTTAGAACCTTTATCTACATATTATACTTTCCTTACCCCGGCCACATATTTCTGATGCCCTAGAGTTTGTTAATGGAATGGAAGTCCAGAATCATTGAAGGGGGAGAGAAGAAGGAGAGATGGTAGAATTATTTTTAAAAGAGTAAATAGGGGGTGGAGCCAAAATGGCAGAGTGAAAGCAGTGACTTGCTTGAGCTCTCCCCCAAACCCCTCCAAATACTTATAAAAATGACTCTAAACAAATTCTGAAGCAACAGAACCCACAAAAAGACAGAGTGAAACAAATTTCTAGCCCAAGACAACCTGGAAGATTGATCAGAAAGGTGTATTGTGCCGGGCTGGGAGCACAGCGTGGGTGCGCAGGCCACAGCCAAACCTGAAGCAGGCCTCAGGGGACTGAATCACGGGCAGCTGTGGAGGTTTCCAGACTCCTCAATCCATGAATGCCAAAGACAACTTAGAAGGTCAGTGGGAAAAGTCTGTTTCTGTCGGTGCTCAGAGAGGAAGGCGGGGTTTCAGCTCCATTCCCGAAGAGTGTGGCCCTGGGGGGGGGGGCAGCTGCTTCCCAAAATTCTGGCCCACAGACTGAGGGGGAATCCAGTGGCTGATCAGAGAGGAATTGCGGGGATCTCTTTGCCAATGCGGAGGCAGGAATCTCTTGCTTTGCCAGTGTGTGGATCTGGATCACAGTTCTGGGTGGCGGTGCTGGGGTGAGGAGGAGCGCTGGCGTGGTGGAGCTTGTAGTGGTTGTAGAGAGGAACCTGTCCTCACAGTTACAGGACAGAAAGGAGTACTTGTGGTCACAGGCCAGGAAAGGAGTAAACACCTCACCCCTTATCCTACCACCTTGGAAGAACTGAAAATTTACAGGTCCCTACAAGTATCTCTGAAAACAGCTATACAAATCCCTGAAGCTTGGGACAGTACACTCTCCACATTGGAAGCAGACTCTTACCTTAACAAAGAGTTTAAAACTCAAGTAGTTGGCTGGGATCATGAGCAAGCAGCGCAAAAAGAGTCAGACTATATTATCTTACTTTGGTGAAAAAGATCAAAATATACAACCAGAAGAAGACAACAAATCAAAGCTCCTACATCCAAAGCCTCCAAGAAAAATATGAATCAGTCCCAGGCCTTGGAAGAGCTCAAAAGGGATTTTGAGAAGCAAGTAAGGGAAGTAGAGGAAAAACTGGGAAGAGAAATGAGAGTGATGCAAGAAAATCATGAAAAACAAGTCAACAGCTTGCTAAAGGAGACCCAAAAAATACTGAAGAAAATAACACCTTAAAAAATAGCCTAACCCAAATGGCAAAAGAGATCCAAAAAGCCAATGAGGAGAAAAATGCCCTAAAAAGAAAATTGGCCAAATGGAAAAGGAAGTCCAAAAGCTTACTGAAGAAAATACTTCCTTAAAAATTAGATAGAGCAATTGGAAGCTAGTGACTTTATGAGAAATCAAGACACTGTAAAACAAATCCAAAAGAATGAAAAATTAGAAAACAATGTGAAATATCTCATTGGAAAAACAACTGACCTGGAAAATAGATCCAGGAGAGAGAATTTAAAAATTATTGGACTATCTGAAAGCCATGATCAAAAAAAGAGCCTAGACATCATCTTTCAAGAAATTATCAAGGAAAACTGCTCTGATATTTTAGACCAGAGGGCAAAATAGAAATTGAAAGAATCCACAGATCTCCTCCTGGAAAGAGGAAAATTGCTAGGAATATTGTAGCCAAATTCCAGAGGTCCCAGGTCAAGGAGAAAATATTACAAGCTGCCAGAAGGAAACAATTCAAGTACTGTGGAAACACAATCAGGATAACACAAGATTTAGCAGCTTCTACATTAAAGGACCGCAGGGCATGGAATTTAATATTCCGGAGGGCAAAGGAGATAGGATTACAACCAAGAATCACCTACCCAGCAAAACTGAGTATAATCCTTCAGGGGAAAAAATGGTCATTCAGTGAAATAGAGGACTTTCAAGCATTCCTGATGAAAAGACCAGAGCTAAATAGAAAATTTGACTTTCAAATACAGGACTCCAGTGGAACATGAAGAGGTAAACAGGAAAGAGAAATCATAAGAGACTTATTAAGATTGAACTGTTTACATTCCTGCATGGAAAGATGATATTTGTAACTCATGAGAACTTTGTCAGTATTAGGTTAGTTGAAGGAAAAAAATTATATGTATGTATATATAGATAGATAGAGGGCACAGGGTGAGTTGAAGATTAAGGGGTCATACTGGAGAATAAAATTAAGGGATGAGAGAGGATGATACTCGGAAAGAAAGGGAGAGGTAGAATGGGGTAAATTATCTCACAAAAAAAACAGAAAAGAAAGTCTCACAGTGGAGGGGAAACAGGGGAAGGTGAGAGGGAATGAGGGAATCTTATTCTCATAGGATTTGGCTTAAGGAGGGAATAACATACCCACTCAATTGGGTATGGAAATCTGTCTTACCCTACAGGAAAATAGGGGAGAAGGGGACAAGAGAGCAGGGGATGAGAGAGGAGGGCAGATTGGGAAAGAGGGTAATCAGAAGCAAATACTTCTGAGGAGGGACAGGGTCAAAAAAAAAATAGAATAAATGGGAGGGCAGGATAGGATTAAAGGAAATAGAGTTAGTTTTTCACAACATGTCTACTATGGAAGTGTTTTGCATAACTGCACATGTACAACCTATATTGAGTTGCTTGCCTTTTCAATGAGGGTGGGTGGGGAGGGAGGAAGGGAGAAAATTTGGAACTCAAAGTATTAAAAACACATGTTTTAAAAAAATGTTTTCACATGCACTGGGAAATAAGAAATACAGGAAATGGGGTACAGAAGTCTATCCTGCTCTACAGGAAAATAGAAGGGGAAGGGGATAAGAGAAGGGAGGGGGAGAGATAGAAGAGAAGGCAGACTAGGGAAGGGTATTCAGAATGCATGCCATTTTGGGGTGGGGGAGGGGTGAGCAATTTGGAACTCAAAAACTTGTGGAAGTGAATGTTGAAAACTAAAAATAAATATATTTATATTTTAAAAAATAATAATAATAATAATAAGAGTGAATAGGGGGCAGCTAGATGATGCAGTGGATAGAGCACTGACCCTGGAGTCAGGAGGACATGAATTCAAATCCAGCCTCAGACGCATGATACTCACTAGTTGTATGATCCTGGGAAAGTCACTTAACCCCATCGCCTTGCTGAAAACAAAAAACAAAAGATAGTGAATAAATTTTTTTGAAGTCCTACAGTATGTCAAATTCAGAAAGGCCGAGGTTTGTATTTGTGGTATTGGTTCATGTTTTTGATGATGCGTTTTGTTTATCCTAAATCTTCAGGTTTGCTCAACCCATAGATAGCATAAACATAAAGTAAATTATATTTGATCTGTGTTTGACAATAGACATTAAGCCCTAAAGGTATAGATTTTTTTTTCTAGTTGTCCAGCAGGAAAGATCTTTTTTCTCTTACCTCCCACCTTTTATTATTTTGGCATTATCTTTCTGGAGGATGCCACTTTTTTGTGAATGACATGAAACTATAGCAAGAGCCAACATTTCTTGTGGAGTAGGATTCCTACAGGGCTTACTTTATGGCTGGCAAAGACATTTTCTTCATAGTGCATTAAAACAGATTAGGGTCAGACAGGGAATCAACTCACTTGTCCTCAGTACATTTTGCCACTTAAATTGGTAGTGCTTATTTCTAGTTCTTTCAAAAAGCTTTTTAAATATTAAATTGTATTGATAGTGTAGTAATTATAAATAGAGACTATCAGGATTGTGTCCGATTCTCCATATTCTTAATCATACAGATAATATTACAAAGCAATATTGGATCAGATGATCATTAGTCATTCCAGCTCCCTTTTCTGTCTCTGGTGGCGCCAATTTCATATAATTGGCTTACAAACTAAAGCTCAGATTAAAGATGTACCTCTGACTTCTTTTATTCTTTGAGTATTCTGTTGTGAATCTATTATTATAATTTTTATCAAAATATTTATTCCTTAAAATTATTTATCATTTTTAGCTTGTATCCCCTCCTGGAGGGAATTAATTTTGTAAATATATATGCTGAACAAAATAATGCTTCTCATTTATTCTTCATTTCTTTCAAGTTTGAAAAGATTCTCTGTATTTCCACTATTCACAGATTTAGGGAAAAAATCCTTAAATTCTTGGATGTTGTAGTGTTTGTACATGTTTCATTGGTATAGAAGAAACTCCTTTTATCCAAGTTAATTAGCAACTTGTCTGTAATTTACAGTTTTAGAAAGCAACCTGGGCCACTAAAAGATTTAGTCACTTGTGTAAAGTCATACAGCTTGTTTATGTGAGAGGTGAAACTAAACTCAGGTGTTCCTGCTTTAAGGTCAGCCCTCTATCCACTGTGTCACAGTACCTCTTTGGCTAGTTATGCTCTTCATGAATTTATAAACTTTACTCTCAGCCTTTGTTTTTTTACACCAAAGAATCCCAAATCTTTGTTCATTTTTTTTGTTTGGTTTTTTGTTTTTTGTTTCTTTTCTTTCTTAGTTTTCTCTTAGAGTGGAATCATGCTATCTGCATGATCATTTAAGTTCTTTTCTTGGGCTCCTCCCATTAGTTCGGATGTGGTGTTGAGAAGTGCCCACAATATTCTAAGTATGCTATTCTGTGTGCTTTTTATGAAAGCATAGGTTAATATTCTCCTTTTAGACAATACCCAACAGTTAAGGACTCTTTTGGGTCACAGTGGCATGCTAGGCTGATATTTTCAGGAAACTGTCTCCAATGATCGCGGGATAGCTTTCCTAAGTTGTAAATTTAGGCTAACATCTCATAAATATTATGAGAATTCATTTTCTCAAGACAAATTGCCTTCTACTTGTCCAAGTTGAAGTCTAGCTGCAACTTTTCTATCTCTTCACACAGTTTTTTAGTTTTTTTCATCAGTTCCATGTTAATTTGTAACTTAGCTATCTGTGAGCTTAATTATCAATAGACATGGAGATTTTCTTTTGAATTCTGCCTCCTAAATAGTTTTGTTTACTAAAAAGCTCTTTAGGGATTAGCACTGTGTACATTTTCCTGTTGAGGAGATGCACCATTTATCCCCATACTTTTGTTTCCATCTCTAAGGCAGATCTGTATCCATGACTAAATGTTTCTTTCATGTTCATGGCAACTACTCTTTAAAAAAACCATCTTTATTGGGAAACTATCTAAAGGCTCTTTGATAACTGAGTAATTTAGTAAAAAGAAAATTGTCAAATATTAGTTGATTTCCTAATATGTATATGTTAACTGCATTGAGGCCTGATAGAAGGGAATATAAAATGTAGTCCCTGTACTCACAGTGTGTAATACGTTTGAAGAAATGTTTTAAATGTAGGAAAATATACCCAGTGCTATGTTCTAGGTAAGTATCATAGATAATAAATGCATTGGGAGCTCAGAGGAGGGTGGTATCACTTTGAGTTGAAGTACCCAGGAAACATTTTAAGGAAGAGCTGGGATTTGAACTGTCTTGAACAATGAATAGGATTTTGATAGATAGGAAGAAGGTAAAAAATGCTGGAGGAATGGCATTAAGCTTAAGTGCACCACTGGGAAATTCAGAGTCCTGGGACAATGAGCGAACCGATTTGACTGAATTTTAGAGAATCTGTAGGTAATGAGAGACAGAACTGTAATGGTGGATTTAGAACAGATTATAAATAGCATTGAATGCCTAGCTAAGGGATTTGGATTTTATTCTGTAGCTTCCTCATCAGTTCTACCTTGTTCACATGGCTTACTTACCCCCCAATTAACTCCCCTTTACTCTATGTTTCATCTTTACCATTGTGGTATATTGGCTTAAATACTTAGTGATGTTGTCCTTTTTTTGTTCATACTTTCTACTAGCTTACTAAATATAGAAATTAGTCACTGTCTGTAATTCCCAAGGTCCTCTCAATAGTCATTATCCTAAATGGGAGTCATGTTGGAAACTGGACAATTTTCCAACCACAATTGCCATTTATCATGGTAGATTACGGATTTTAGTTGCCAGTTTTGCAGCCTCATGCCACAGTTCCATCAGAAATCTTGAGGGAATACCATCAGATTGTGGTTAATTAGGTATATCTCAGTTATCAAACAACTTAGAATATCAAGTGTTTACTAGTATTCTGGTTCTAGCTCTGCTATAACGAGCCTTGTAACTTGAGGCAAATTGCTTTGGTCATTGAGGTATATATTCTCATCTATAAAATGAGAAATGATCCCTAAGGTCCTTTCCAGCTCTGACATTGTAAGCTTCTAATATATTTTACTTTACTTCATGATATCTGCTGCTGCAAAGGCCAAAAGAAAGAATTCAAGCAGTCTTTTGGCCTTGTATCCTCTTCAATACTCCCTTTTTGCTATAATTATCAAGTCATGCTTCTGATTGTCTAGCCAATTGACCTTTGAATCTCTTTTAATCCGCCATGCTTTGCAAGATTCTTGGTTATCCTAACTTTGAAAACCTTTCTGTTTGAAAAAAAAATTTCCCCATACATTAGCCTCCATCACCCATAAGGGGATTTTACTTGAGCATGTAGTCTTTTTTGATCTATAATATGTGTTCTTATCCTCCTATCAGTCCCAGTAAGGTATTTTCTGTTTGCTTGTTTGTTTGTTTGTTTTTTGGCAGGGTGTTGATTTCATACTAGTTTAAATATTTTTACTTTTCCTCTCCTAACTTACTAGTTAAAAAATGACATTTTTTCATCCCTTTTAAAAAATCTAGCAACTGCTATTATTTTTCAAAGTACCTGCCTTTCACCTGAATGTTGAACTTAATCATGCTATATTCAAAATGTCCACTATTTGTGGTGAGTAATGGCTCCCCCAATCCTTGTTGAACTAGATTTTGTCCATTACTTAGAACCCAGGTCAGCCTTTACTTTCATACTCAATGAGGACAAAGCTTAAAATGATAAGTGATTTAATTAAACTTCTTTCTATCCCAATTGTTGGGTTCAGGATTCACTATTTGACAAAAACTGCTAGGAAAACTGGATGGCAATGTGTGCAGAAATTAGATTTAGATCGATACCTCAAGCTGTATACCAAGATAAACTCAAAATGGTGTAAATATGTAAAAAGTCATATAAAGTAATAGAGAAAGGAAGAAAATACCCTTTGAATCTATGGCTAAGGGAAGAGTTTGTTACAAAAAGAGAGGAAGGGATAGAGAGGATCACAGAAGAGAAAATGGACAATTTTAGTCGTATAAATTAAATAGTTTTGCACAAATAAATCAAATACAGCTAAGACTAGAAAGGAAAGAGTTAACTAAGAAAAAAATCTTTATAGCCGGTTTCACTGATAAAGGTACCATTTCAATTAATTTAAATTTATGAGAATAAGATCCATTCCCCAAGTTGATAAATGGCCAAAGGATATGAACAGATAATTCTCATGCCATTGCTAGCCATGTGAAAAATTGTTCCACATCGCTAACTAATAGGGAAATACGATAATTAGAGAAATACAAGTTAAAGCAACTGTGAGGTTCCACATTATCCCTTCAGATTAGGAAAGTTGGCCAAAAATAAATAAATAAAGGAAATGACTGATTTTGGAGGGGTGCTGGGAAAACAGGTACATTAATGCATTGCTGGTAGAGATTGTGAATTGGTAATGCCATTCTGGAAAGCAATTTGGAACCATGCTCAAAAAGTTACTAAATTGTGCATACCCTTTGGTGCAGAAATACCACAATTAGGCCTTTACCTCTAAGAGATAAAAAAAAAAGAGATAAGCATCCTATGTATACAAAAATATTTATAACATGTCTTTTTGTGATGATAAGAACTATAAATTAAGGGAGTGTCCATCAAATGAGGATTTGCTGTACAAATTATGGCATATGAATGTCTTTGAGTGTTTGTGTGCTATGAAACAATAAAGGGGACATTTCTAGAGAAACTTGGGAAGACTTATATGAACTAATGCAGTGTGAAGTGAACAAAGCTAGGAGAACAATTTATATACTATAACAACATTGTAAAAAGTTTTGAAAAACAAGAACTTTGACCAATGCATGATTAGATCATGATTCCATAGGACCCACCTCCTGATTCCCTAAGACCCACCTTCTATCAGAGAGGTGATCGATTCAATTTGCAGAATGAAGCAAACATTTTTGGACATGACTAATGTGGAAATTTGAT